TCCTCACATAAGCCTACTACTCAATCGTATGCTACTAAACAACTAAAACATCATAAAACAATTCAACATGAAAACCTAGGTTGCACCTAGAGGCAATAAAATCTTCAAAACCACAACATATATGCATTCACAACATATCCTCACATATCTTGCAATGCTTTCACCCAAATATCCCTACATAAGCCTACTACTCAAGCGTATGCTACTAAACAACTAAAACATCATTAAAAAATTCAACATGAAAACCTAGGTTGCACCTAGAGGCAATAAAATCTTCAAAGCCACAAACTTATTGCAAAAACTGATTGGAGGGATTGGAGGAGCTTACCGGCCTCTTCGATTTGCCCCTAAGATGTGCGAAAATGATAGAGGGGAGAGGGAGATTGAGGGAGGGGATCGGGAGGAGCAGAGATGCGCCCCTCGCCTCTGCTCGAGCTGAGGAGAGGAGGAAGAACGGGCTGGTGGGTGGATGGGGCCCGCCCGCAGCCACGCAGGGGAAAAGCCTGTTCGGCACCCTACCGCCACCCGCTCTGGCGGTAGGATGCACCGAGCTACCGTCACGGTCTGTGGCGGTAGCCACTTATCCACTTCAGCGCGGCAGACGGCGCCATCAACGTTGACCCGGTCCCTACCGCCATCATATGTGGCGGTAGGACGTTTTAGCCTACCGCCAGCTCGGGTGGCGGTAGGAAAAGGATCAGATCCAGAAAAAAATTCTTAGAAGGGGTTAGATCCGGCTAAAAGATTGCAAAAGGGTCAAAACAGTGAATTTGGCCGCCAAACGATCGATAAGCCTCGCTCTGTGATGAGATGAGCGTGGGTGGGATCTGCGGGAAGGTTAACAGGCGATGCAAACCCTCCCTGTCCCTGGTGTTTCAGCTACCTATAGTTGGTTCTGGATCGTTGTTATCGCTACGCATCCGCTGCTCATCTGAAACTCGTGCTTAACACCAATGTATGTACCTCCTCTTCCTCCTGTCAGAATTCAGAATAGGATTCCAGGCCTTGAATGCAGCACAGTGAGCGTCCCAATCCCACACAAGTTGAGCCCACATTAACGTTGTGAAAAGCCATGGCCTAGTACCTTTTCTACCTGATGGAAAATTTTAATTTCAGTGACACGCATCCGGGGCTACAGGGGTGTAGCTGCAGTACAGTGAAGCCGGCCCGGGCCCTCCTGCCTCTGCCACGGAGAGAATACAATATAACATGATACCAACACTTGTATGCTCCCATGATATCAATTCGAAAAATTCAAATTTAAGCGTGCCAAAAAATCCGAAAGAAAACCATGGATGTTCTCAACATATGTGTCTACAAACCCTTGAAAAAATCAGATCCAAACCCAAATTGTGCAATGAGGAACAAAAAAAGACAAATTCAGCATGAATAGTGTCAACAAAGACAAAACATGAATAGTGTAAAAAAAACTACACTATTCACACACAGGTTTATCTTTTTTGTTTCTCAGTGTGTATACCGAGTTTGGATCTGATTTTTTTAGGGCCTGTAGACACATGTGTCGAGAACCTGCATGGTTCCTTTCGGATTTTTTTGGCACGTTTATATTTGAGTTTTTTGAATTGGTATCGTGGGAGCATATATATAAATGTTGGTATCACGTGGTATTCTCCCACTCACCTACTGCTTGATTGGTTCCTCTAGTGGTACCACCAATTGTTGGACTGAAGAAATTTACATGGGAGATGAACAGCCGCCGTATCCTCCTGATGGATGCGCCATCGTCATGTCACTGTCAGCAACAACTAATACTGGCCATTTGTTGCATCCATGATTCCATGCCTATTTCTCGATGACTGAATGATCATCACTTTACTCAATCCTTGCATCCTGAATGACTGAATTATCATCAATTTACTCAGTAGTGGCCAACAGTCACAGCATGCACGCACACATAAACAACAGGTAGCCACGCATGGTGGAAACAAGCACACACAGCCAGCGCGCCCGCATCACGGCACCAGCAAGGCAGCAAGTGCGGGAGGACCGAAGGCCACCGGAGAAGAGCAGGGATTCGGCAAGGGAAGGAGTTACCATGCTGGCGACGGGCGGTGGGCGCCGGCGCGGCAGAGGCGAGTCGAGTCCAGACGGCGGCCAGCGACTCCAGCTGCCGGCGGCGGCATCCAAATGGCGGTGAGCGAATCCAGGCGGCGGCTATGGTCGTCCGCGGCGATGCGCTCGCCGGTGAGTACTCGATTCAGTCTGCCGCCCGAACGAATTTAGGGCTACGAGTTGGCGTGTACCGCTACCGGGCTTCCCGTGTCCCCGTACGTGTCAGCGCCGTCCCGGCAACCGTATCGGCATTCTTTTTCTTTATTTTTAAATCGAAAAACAGGATACTCCATGGATACGCGTATCGATGGCGTATCCGACATGTCGGCAACGTATTATACACGAACACGCCGTTTTTGGACGTATCAGTGCTACATACTCCCTTCGTCCGGAAATACTTGTCATCAAAATGAATAAAATGAGTGTATCTAGATATATTTTAGTTCTACATACATTTTTTTTCTCCATTTTGATGACAAGTATTTTCGGACGGAGGGACTAGCTTTCAACAGCCAGCGCAGTGTTACTAGTGCTGCTGGCTGATCAACGCATTAGTACTAAAGCAGATCATGGCCATGCGGTGATCAGCACTAGCTTAAACAAACAAAGCCTGTGGCGCTCACTCACTGATTACTTGGGACTGACTGACAGACAGACTGATTGTCGATTATCCCGCGCACGTACGCACAGTGCACGTCCAAAAGGCCAGCGGGAGGGAGACGTCCCATCACCTGACCCGGATCGCATAAACAAACAGGTGGTGCTGTGGCTGTGCTCTGACGGATTCTCGGCATCTCTAGGACGGACAATGACTGACTGTTTCGGATAGCATCCTCACACAGCAAAAATGGCTGACCTGATGCATCCAAAACCTCAAATTTATAGTTAATAAAATTGTACTTTTCTAAAGTGGTTTAAACATTATGTTTTGAGCAAAATGTGAACAAACGGGAATCCCTAAAAGCAACTTCAATGGGGCGACCCATTTCGCCCGCCGCCGTCCGTTTGAGTTGGCGCGGACAGAAAAGGCGGCCCAACGCGACGATTCAAACGGACACGCGTTCGCTTTTCGTCCGCGGGCGACCCATTCCCGGCCCATTTTTGAGCCGGATTTGCACCTGCGCGGACGCGCGCACGCTCGCCCCTCTCCTCCCCTAGGCCCGCTGGTCTGTGTCACATCGCCCTCCCTAATCCAACAGCAACCATCGCCCTCCTCCTCCGTCAGCGACGCCGCCGCCTATTTTTTTGCCGGCGAGTGTGCCAGCTGTTGGGGCCTCCACATCCGCCCAACTACGCCGCCCACTCCCATGTCGCCCGCCGCCGCCGTCTTGCCGCCGGGAACCGACTGCTTCCCACCCCCACCACACAGCCGCCTCCGACCAAGAAGTCGCCTCGCCGCCCGGCCAGATCCTCACCGGCACGCTCGTCGGACGCCGGTAGGACAGCAGCTGGTCCATGCGCGCTGCGACTCCCTTCGCCGGCCGAGTCCTTCGCCAAAGCCCGCAAGCTGTTTGACAGTTTGCCAAGGTACAAAATAGACTCCGCCGCCGAGTTCTTTTTTCAGAATTTTCTTTGCGACTCTGACGATTCGTCCTCCGATGACGAGGAGGAGATATTGGCTGCCGTGTTGGTCCATCATCACCTCAACAGCCAGCGGCCATTGTTCCGTGGCTCCATTCCGGGCCACCTTCCGGCGTTGAATCGCAACCGAGAGAGCGGGCGGCCAATCCAAACAGACAAAAAGCGGACGAAATGGTCGCCCCATTGGAGTTGCTCTTAAAAAACCCAGTGGTTTCATCAGACGTGGCCCTAGATTTAAATAAAGAAATCGTGCGCGCTGCATTTCTGGACCGGCTCCCATTCAGGCAAAGCGGTGCATCCAGGCATAGTAATTAACACGGTTGTGCAGGCACAACGGATTGCTCCTGGATACTCTGTCTATCACTAGCGCCAACCTTCTTGGAAACGTGCGCGCCCTCCACTCAAAGTAGTAAATTCTAAAACTCAGCGCTCGTTGCAGAGAGGACTGCGAGCGATGTACTCCATTGACAGTGCTGCTTTTTTCGATTAAACAAGCACTAGAACTAATAAAGCAGACGGTAAAAAAGGCCCAGGTGAAGTGAAAAGGACAGTCGACTGCTTCCATGGAGGTAAAAATGGAGCGGGTTGGAAAACCTCTCCCCGTGCACGGGTAGGCCAAAAGGAGCAACTTTGTTACCAGTTTACCTCGTGGGTAACAAGTGCATGCCTGCCTGCTGCCAAGAAAGAAAGAAAGGATGATTCGGCAAGACCATCATTCATGATGAGCGCCATCATGCCCATCTCCATCCATATCTACTCACCCCACACACACAAACAGTCCAAGCTTTGGCCTCCCATCAGTCTCACAGGTTCCACCATGACCATGACCATGACCATGACCAGCATCCACTCTCTCCACTCAGCTTACTGCAGAGCAAAGGGCACACAAGTGCATCCACAACAGTAACCTCACAGGTCCAATCACACACACACACAGTCACAGTCACAGCACTGCAGAGATTGAGAGTGAGAGAGAGGTGAAAATAAATCTAGCTCTGATTCATTCATTCATTCATCGACGGAGGACCGGGATACCGAGGATAACCGAGCTGCTAATCAAAGCTAAGCTGAAGCCTACGGGATGAGATGTTGTTACCTAACGACGGTTACAGTGAGGCTGGGGATCAGGCTGTTCCTTACACTGACACATGGCTGGGCTACTACTGAGTGACTGACGGCGGGCTAACTCTAAGTTTTTACAACAGGTGAATCAGAAAACCTAACGCTACTGCATTTGCATTTGCATTCCCTCCCGGCATGTTGCTTCTGCTGGTCATTCTGGTGTTACAGAGATCAATGGAGGAGCTCCTGGTGGTGGTGGTGGTGGTGTGAGGTATGAGGAAGCCCTAGCAGTCTAGCACCGTCCACTCGTACCGCCCCGGGAGCGGGCGCTCGCTCGCCGGGCAGAAGTTGTACCTGGTTATTTTTAGATCAGAGCAGTCCAGTGTCAGCAAGTTTCGCTTTGCCGTATGCATAGTTCAGGTGAAGAGGAGGAGGAGGAGGAGGCAGAGTTCTTCTTACTTGTCCCTGAAGCTCTGGTGCTGCTGCTGCTCCGCGGCGGCGAAGAACTCGTCCATCTCGAGCGAGCTCGGGACGTAGCGGCACACCGGCGTCTGCGCCCTGCGCCGGGAATGGTTGCGGGCTCCCGTCGCCGACCCCGGGGTGCTCATCGTCTCCGAGCTGTAGATCAGGCTGCACGGCGTCGTCTCCCTGGTGCCCCTGCAAGCAACCAACAGCACATGAGGTTCAGAAGCTGAAATGCACACGAGGTCTTGCAAATTACTACTGCAGATGCAAGCTTGGTTGGTGAGCTCGGGTGACAGCAAGCTACAGGAAGTCGAACACGACAGCTCATTCATTTTCTAGCATGCATGATCTTGTCCATTTCATTGCTTGCAAGTGCCCCACGCTAGACAATGTGAGGCGCACCTGATTATTGGTGCAGCGCAAGCACAAGCACGCTGAATGACTGGACGCTGACAAACAAGCAACAACTTGGCCTAACACGGCCAAGCAAGCGAGCTAAATGGGCGCGTGCGTTCAACATGCATACGCCGGGCAAAGGGACCACGGGATCAATCATGCGAACATACGTAGAACTAAATAAGCCGGAGAAAGATATATTTACTGAGGTCTTCCACGGCCTGACCAAAGTAAAATCTGTTCCGAACAAAAACGTGGTCCGGCGTCCACTCAAGGCCCGGTCAGGAAGCTAACAGGAGGCCAGCGAGCATTCAATGGCGGCGGTGGCGCTCTGGTACAAGTGCTGATGATGAGCTGCATGCCATTTTCGCCCACGGCGGTGGCGGCTGGCGGGCGGGCGGGCGAGAAACTGGGCCCTGAGTGCGACGGCGGTGGCGCCTTTGGGGGGTTGAAATTGCCCGGGAAAGAGCGGGAGAGGAAAGATTGGGGCCGAGCCAATGGAGGGCGGCTGTGGTGGGGAAGGGGAATGGAAAGGGGGCTACTTTCCTCTGCCACTATCGGGAAAAGGCGGAGCCACGGCCGCGGCCACTGGAGGGGGAGGAGGCTCCACTGATTTCTGGAGGAGGCTCCACTAATCAAGTGCAGCGCCCACTTTGATTGGGGGTTGGGTTGATTGAGTGCGCCTTTGATTGTTTGGACGGGAAAAATGGTGGCTTCTTTGGAGGGGGGGAAATGGGGGCCTTTTTCGCCGGGTCAACACGGCGGGCAGGCGTTTCTTTCTTGGATTCTTTCGAGCGGACGCCAACGGCTAATGGTTGAGGAAATTCATTCAGGCTGAAAACGGAGAACCGATGATTCTTGCAAGAATCCCGGCACAATCAGCGGAAGCTGTGGATGTTTGGGCGCTTCAATCCTGGGGAGAAAGAAAACCAGCGTCGGCGCTCGTCTGAGGAAACTCATAGGGAGGGGATTCTTGAGGTTGCCGGCGCTTCAGAGTTGAGATTTGAGACCACGCGGCGGCGCTAATGGAGCGCGATAAAGCATAAATCCCAATCGTATTGGTATCACCCGGGCGCGAGAAGGGATTGCTGGCTGAACCGGAGAGGGGGGATTGGGGGAAGAAAGAAAGAAAGAAAGAACTGGTGCTCTGTTGTTACCTGTCGGTGGCGTCCCAGTCCAGCACGTTGTCGCCGAAGGAGACCTCGAGGTCGGCCTCGAACCCCTCGGCGGCGAACGACGGCGCCTGCTCCATCCTCCTCCCGCCAGCGGCGGCGGCCCTCCTCGCGGCCGGCTGCGGCGCGTCCTCCTTCTCCCTGGCCCCCGGCGGCGGCTGCTTCTCGAGCCGCCTGCTCCTGAGCTCGAGGTAGTCGCCAGCCCCGGGGTCGCCGTCCTCCTGCCCCTTGCGCTGCGGCGAGGGGGACGGGGAGGGGGCGCGCTGCTGCTGCGCGGCGAGGGTGCGGGAGCGGGTGCGGACGCCGAGCAGCGCGCCGGCGACCTCCATGACGGCCACCTCCCCCGAGGCCTTGCTCTTGCGCATGTACTTCCCCATGGCGCCGGCCCCGGCCTCTCCTCTGCTTCCTCTGCTTCCGGTGGGCAGCTGGCTGGGAGGGGAGGGGAGGGGAATCGCGGGAATAATGGGGAGCGGGAAAAAGGGCGCGAGGGGGCGGGGGATTTGGCGGGCTCGGGCGCGCGACGCCGCCGCTGTATTTAGAGAGAGGGAGAGAAAATCGGGGAGGACCCGCGCGCGGCTTAGGTAAGAGAGAGAAAGAGGTTTGGATTCTCTTCTCTCGGAGGGTGGTGGCGTCGCCGCGTGGGGGCGCGCGTTTGGTGGTTTCCGAGGGCGGGCCACATGGACATGGCACCGGAGGTGGAGATGGGTGGGGTATGCCGTTGCAATTGCAAATTTGCAATGGTGGGGTTTGGGGGGTGCCATATCCTCCAGTATAAATGGGAGGGGAGAGGATGCTCATTGGATGGATGTTTAGGGAATAGGGGGTGATGCCACTATTGTGGGTAAAAGGATATTCCCCTCACATACAAGGGCAAAAAAAAGGATAGAGTAGGGCGTTTTGATGCCCAGGCTCATCTGCACCCGGTTAGAAAAAATTCGTAACAAATTCAAAACAAATTCCAAAAATTCCAAATAAAATATGTGTGGTAGACAATTTGATGTGTGAAGCCCGTCCCAAATTTCAAGTCATTTGGACATCTAAAGTTCTCTCAGACAGTAAACATTTTCACAGACCCTCAATTTGTCTTTTTTGCTGAGAGCTCCTCAGATGTCCAAATGATTTGAAAATTGGAGCGGACCTCACGCATCAAATTTTCTACCCCACAAAAAAATTTGGAATTTTTTGAATTTGTCTGGTATTTGTTTTTGATTTTTTTTCGTCGGCGCGGGTGCAGAAATGGATTTTCGTTATTTTGACATATACTAGGAGGGGTTGATTTTTATTTCAAATACGCTACTCCATCGACATATATTTTGGTATAGAGGGTGTAGTCGTAAGTGATCGGGGGGAAATCGATCATGGCTGGATTATGTTATTTTTTTTCTCGAATACGCACGAGTGTGCGTATCATATATTGATAGAAGAAGAGGGGGAAGAGCCCCATCCACATTATTTACATGGCGCTTACATAACACGATCCACTGTGCTATCTAGAGGTGGATTATTCGCCATACACCCACCCCTCTACCTCTACGTCTACTGGTACAATGTTAAGATCTGCATGCAGGATGCATGCCTGCTTCCACACTACACCCTCAGCCTGTATTCTTCGTAGTACATGCCTCACGTCTGGGTTCTTACCATCAAACACGATCGAGTTGCGATGTTTCCGTATCTCCCATAGAACGAGAGTTTGAATGGCGAGCGCCGACTTTGTGTATCTCCCAAGCCGTGTCGCCCGCGTACTCCATCTCCGTAAGTCTTCTCCTTGCGCCGATGCCAGGCCAACCATGCCCATGATGAGGCCTACCTTTGCCCACACTTCGCGCGCGAAGACGCAACCCGTCAAGAGGTGATTGACGGTCTCCTCCTCCTGATCACATAACGGACAGGTGTCTTGGTACGGAAGCCCTCGCCGTGCAAGCCTGTCCGAAGTCCACACTCTGCCCATAATCGCAAGCCACACGAAAAAGCGGCACCGCAAGGGTGCCCATGATGCCCAAGTGAAGCCAGCAGTGGGTGAGACATGCTGCATGGCAAACTTAAGCCGCATATGCCAATCGGACGGAGAATTGGCCGTTCTTCTTCAAGGAAATATGCCCTAGAGGCAATAATAAAGTTATTATTTATTACCTTATATCATGATAAATGTTTATTATTCATGCTAGAATTGTATTAACCGGAAACATAATACATGTGTGAATACATAGACGAACATAGTGTCACTAGTATGCCTCTACTTGACTAGCTCGTTTATCAAAGATGGTTATGTTTCCTAACCATAGACAAAAGAGTTGTCATTTGATTAACGGGATCACATCATTAGGAGAATGATGTGATTGACTTGACCCATTCCGTTAGCTTAGCACTTGATCGTTTAGTATGTTGCTATTGCTTTCTTCATGACTTATACATGTTCCTGTAACTATGAGATTATACAACTCCCGTTTACCGGAAGAACACTTTGGGTGATACCAAACGTCACAACGTAACTGGGTGATTATAAAGGAGTACTACAGGTGTCTCCAAAGGTACATGTTGGGTTGGCGTATTTCGCGATTAGGTTTTGTCACTCCGATTGTCGGAGAGGTATCTCTGGGCCCTCTCGGTAATGCACATCACTATAAGCCTTGCAAGCAATGTAGCTAATGAGTTAGTTACGGAATGATGCATTACGTAACGAGTAAAGAGACTTGCCAGTAACGAGATTGAACTAGGTATTAGATACCGACGATCGAATCTCGGGCAAGTAACATGCCGATGACAAAGGGAGCAACGTATGTTGTTATGCGGTTTGACCGATAAAGATCTTCGTAGAATATGTGGGAGCCAATATGAGCATCCAGGTTCCGCTATTGGTTATTGACCGAGAATAGTTCTAGGTCATGTCTACATTGTTCTCGAACCCGTAGGGTCCGCACGCTTAAGGTTTCGATGACAGTTATGTTATGAGTTTATGAATTTTGATGTACCGAAAGAGTTTCGGAGTCCCGGATGAGATCGGGGACATGACGAGGAGTCTCGAAATGGTCGAGACGTAAAGATCAATATATTGGACGACTATATTCGGAGTTCGGAAAGGTTCCGAATGATTCGGGTATTTTTCGAAGTACCGGAGAGTTACGGGAATTCGCCGGGGAGTATATGGGCCTTATTGGGCCATACGGGAATAGAGGAGATAGGCCAAAAGGAAGGAGGCATGCGCCCCCCCTCTGGTCCGAATTGGACAAGGGGGGCAGCCCCCTTTTCCTTCTCAATCTCCTCCTCTTTTCTTCCCCAACAAGGAAAGGAGGAGTCCTACTCCCGGTGGGAGTAGGACTCCCCCCTTGGCGCGCCTCCTCCATAGGCAGACCGCCTCCCCCCTTGCTCCTATATATATGGGGGCAGGGGGGCACCCCAAAGACACAACAACAATTGATCCTTGAGATCTATTAGCCATGTGCGGTGCCCCCCTCCACCATAGTCCTCCTCGATAATATTGTAGCGGTGCTTAGGCGAAGCCCTGCGACGGTAGAACATCAAGATCGTCATCACGCTGTCGTGCTGACGGAACTCTCCCTCGACACTCGGCTGGATCAAAGTTCGAGGGACGTTATCGAGCTGACTGTGTGCTAGAACTCGGAGGTGCCGTAGTTTCGGTGCTTGATCGGTCGGGCCGTGAAGACGTACGACTACATCAACCGCGTTATTCTAACGCTTCCGCTTTCGGTCTACAAGGGTATGTAGATTACACTCTCCCCTCTTGTTGCTATGCATCACCATGATCTTGCGTGTGCGTAGGATTTTTTTTGAAATTACTACGTTCCCCAACAGTGGTATCAGAGCCTAGGTTTTATGCGTTGATGTTATTTGCACGAGTAGAACACAAGTGAGTTGTGGGCGATACAAGTCATACTGCTTACCAGCATGTCATACTTTGGTTCAGCGGTATTGTTGGATGAAGCGGCCCGGACCGACATTACACGTACACTTACGCGAGACTGGTTTTACCGTCGTGCTTCGCACACAGGTGACTAGCGGGTGTCTGTTTCTCCAACTTTAGTTGAACCAAGTGTGGCTACGCCCGGTCCTTGAGAAGGTTAAAACAGCACTAACTTGACGAACTATCATTGTGGTTTTGATGCGTAGGTATGAACAGTTCTTGCTCAGCCCGTAGCAGCCACGTAAAATTTGCAACAACAAAGTAGAGGACGTCTAACTTGTTTTTGCAGGGCATGTTGTGATCTGATATGGTCAAGACGTGATGAGATATAAGTTGATGTATGAGATGATCATGTTTTGTTGAAGTTATCGGCAACTGGCAGAAGCCCTATGGTTGTCTCTTTGTTGCATAAGATGCAAGTGCCAAATAATTGCTTTACTTTATCGCTATACGATAGCAATAGTTGCAAGAGCAATAGTTGGCGAGACGACCATGTGACGACACATTGATATAGATCAAGATGATGAAGATCATGGTGTCGTGCCGGTAACGATAGAGATCATGACAGTACTTTGGAGATGGAGATCACAAGCACAAGATGATGATGGCCATATCATATCACTTATATTGATTGCATGTGATGTTTATCTTTTATACATCTTATTTTGCTTAGTTTGACGGTAGCATTTTAAGATGATCTCTCACTAAATTATCAAGAAGTGTTCTCCCTGAGTATGCATCGTTGCGAAAGTTCTTCGTGCTGAGACACCACGTGATGATCGGGTGTGATAGGCTCTACGCTCAAATACAACGGGTGCAAAACAGTTGCACACGCGGAATACTCAGGTCGAGCGTGAATCATATAGTAGATATGATCAACATAGTGATGTTCACCATTGAAACTACTCCATCTCACGTGATGATCGGACATGGTTTAGTTGATTTGGATCACATGATCACCTAGAAGATTAGAGGGATGTCTATCTAAGTGGGAGTTCTTAAGTAATATGATTAATTGAACTTTAATTTATCATGAACTTAGTCCTGGTAGTATTTTGCAAATTATGTTGTAGATCAATAGCTTGCATTGTTGCTTTCATATGTTTATTTTGATATGTTCCTAGAGAAAATTGTGTTGAAAGATGATGGTAGCAATGATGCGGATTGGATCCGTGATCTGAGGTTTATCCTCATTGCTGCACAGAAGAATTATGTCCTTAATGCATCACTAGGTGACAGACCTATTGCAGGAGCAAATGCAGATGTTATGAACGTTTGGCTAGCTCAATATGATGACTACTTGATAGTTTAGTGCACCATGCTTAACGGCTTAGAATCGGGACTTCAAAGACGTTTTGAACGTCATGGACCATATGAGATGTTCCAGGAGTTGAAGTTAATATTTCAAGCAAATACCCGAGTTGAGAGATATGAAGTCTCCAACAAGTTCTATGG